TTACCTCTTGTAGAATAAAATCTTAAAGTTCTTCTAAAATAAAATTTATATAATGAGCCTTACAATGTTGTTACCTGCTTTGTCGGCAGGGACCGGTACGTACTGATTATGTAATCTATCTTATTCTTTTTTCACAGATGGGTTATTGTATACAGAATGATTTTTTTTACTGCCCCTCAATCTTTTAATACGCGACTTTAACATGGATCTGATACATCTAATCCATTCTAACAAGGTGTCAACGTCTTCATTTTCATCTCTGGCCCATCGTCTTGCGTAATTTTCAACAGAATTCTTAATGTTTATGAAATTCCGACGCCAGTTGAAGGATTAGGGTTCCCCATATTTAGGACCTTTTAAAATAAGTGATCTAAGGTCGTAATATTAATTATATTTACGTCACCTGTAATAACGTGTCCGGTAGGACTATAGTTATAGGGCGTAGAAGAACATAGAGTAAATAAAACCTGAATATCAATTCTTTTTTTCTAAATTCATTGTTAATGTCCTTTTCCCTGATTCTTTAAACAAACCAGTGTAAATAACACGACTCTGCAACTCTTCCATTCAAACTAAGATGTGACAGGGGTTCCGCCATGTATCATTTGACTAAAAAAAACTTGTCCTTTGACATAATTCATTATAAATTCAATGTTAATTTGTCATACAAGTGCTACATACTTTGTGTATATGTATAAATCATATACATTTACATTTTATCATTTCGTGGAAATGTGTAGAGATACTGAAAATTTTGATTACCTTGTAATATATGCATTTAATTCTATGATCTGGGGGTACATTCTACATGCATGAAAATTGAACGTAGATATGCCTAATGGTTTATATTATTTTGTGTTTTTATAAACATTCTATTTAATAAACCTGCTTATATGTTCAACATTTATTAATAATTTAATTTCACTTCTATCAAGCAATTTCATTGATTGAATCATTCAGAGGAACATATAATATTTTGTATAACATAACTTGCCTACGTCACAATGAGTAACGTCAAAAACGTATAACCCCGCTTGATATTACTTTTAAAATAATACTCAATTTGAAGCCTCTTTCCGGAGGAAAAATTGTCTCATTGGCTACACTGAAATTAAATTATAAGGAATGAAGTTTATTTCAACTTATATTATACGATATAACATAACTTGGGACAGTTTACCCATTTTTACAAACCGCTTCGCGGTTCATAAAGCGTAAACTGCCCCAAGTTATGTTATATCGCAAAAAAAAGTTGAAGTAAGCTTCATTACTTAAATAATTGCTCAAAAAAGAACTGATAATTTTACAAATTTCTATTAAAAGAAACAGATAGTAGCTGTCCGTTGCACCAATCTACATCATTTAGTGAGATAAGTAAATTATACTAAAATATTGCTTATACTGTTTTAATTATAATCATTATGAAACTGATTATTTAAATTTTTTTTCATAATACATTAGTTTAATTCTAGTTGTTGTGTCTGATCATCATCACAGTCTGATATAATGCTTTATATCCTTTCCAGTGATACCATATCATGTAATGACTACCATACACTGAAGACCCTCCGTACTCTCCATTCAGGTTTGCGAAGGCGGCACAGTCTCTGTACCACCAGCCTCCGCGATATACTTTAGCACAGTTTTCGAAAATCCTGATGTCGTTAGGATTAAATTTGTCGTTGTCCTGGTTGTTCGTAGTAAATCTAGATCCGTTGTTATAAGTCAAACTGTCACCTGTAACAGAGAATTGATAACTTTATATTATCCAGATATCAATTAAAGTAGAACAATATTGTCTATTGAACAACTTCTAGATGACTTTAATTTGTTTCGTACAAATATGTATTATACCACGTATACATTATTTTTATCATATATTATACATTCTAGCAAAGAGATCGTATCAAAAAATTCTGAAACAAAGTCAAACTGTCACCTGTAACAGAGTATTGATAATCTAATATTATCCATATATTAATTAAAGTAGAACAATTATCCAAACCGCATTCGTGATTTTCCTGTCTATTGAACAACTTCTAAATGACTTTAATTTGTAACATACAAATGTGTATTATAAACATTATTTTTCTTATGTATCACACATCGTAGGTCAGGTCTTGTATCAAGCAATGATAAAATGCTAACATTAAAACATAATGAGGACACATTTACATGTAAATTGATTTCCTTTTTAAATGTATTTTTCTGGGAGGGGGGGGGGGGGGCTATAAATGTCTCCAAAATTAAATTTTTGTCTATAAAGAAACAAGTGTTCATTTTAAGTTAGGATGTCCTAACTTAAGATGTTCCTAAGTTACCGTCCCGATATATCTTATGATATATCCTTAGTTGATCTTAGGATATTCCCAACTTTTCCCTAAGTAATATCTTAGGAATAATCTTAGGACTGATCTTAAGGAAGTTTCATGAACATGCCTGCAGGCTAACATATTCAAAAATTTGTTTTCATCTGTAAACCTTTGCTGAGTGCGTTTTGTCCATATTTGTAATTTTAATGAAATAGTACTAATATTTTCCAAGTCTGCTTCATTTTCCAGTTCTTAGGGAGAAGAAATTCTAAGAGTTCTCCATTTTCTAAACTGTTGACATGATATTAAGTCTCCTCCAAAGAAAAAAATCTTTGTATCATCTGTCCTTAAAGGACCAGAAAACATTTTCATTTGTACCTAACAATAATGCCCAATGTATTCCTGTAGGAGAGAATTAAGGGATCAACATATTTGATCACACTCTAATGCACCACCTGTGTCAACGTAGCCGCCATTTTTTCAACATGTCAGATTTCAAGCCGATGGATATAGAACGTTATAAAATTCATATTAGTTAAAGCATATTAACCATACTTTTGAAAAAAAGGTAGTTGATAATAGAATATGAAGAATTTTCATTTCTTTTCCCAAAATACTGAATTCTAAATACTTTTTCGTAAGTTATTTAATATCTATCAATTTTTAATGACATTTTTTGTATGATTCCGCCTTATTACAATGAATATTTTATTTAAATGGGGTTAATCTGTGTAGTCACTCATAGATTTTTTATATATATATATTTTTTAACCTATGTAAAAGTTTCATTAGTTTATGTCACCGGGTTTCTAAAAAAGACGCCCATGGGCCACATCACTCACCTGAGAAGCTTTGACGATTCTGTTCTTTACTAGATTTGCCCCTTGTAATACATATTGTGACCCAACCCTACCCCACTGATCATAATTTAGACAATTTGAAATCTACACTACCCCAGGATGCTTCCACATAAGTTTCAGCTTTTCAAAGATTGTCCAATATATTTCTATGTAAAACTTTGATTCCCCATTGTTGCCCCGCCCTAACCCCCCCCCCCCCCGGGTCATGATTTGAACAATTTAGAATCTACATTACCCCAGGATGCTTCCACATAAGCTTCAGCTTTTTTCTGGCCCAGTGGTTCTTGAGAAAAAGATTTTTAAAGATTTTTCCTATATATCTCTATATAAAACTTGGATTCCCCATTGTGGCCCTGCCCTACCCCTGGTGGTAATGATTTGAACAATTTAGAATCTACACCACCCCAGGATGCTTCCACATAAGTTTCAGCTTTTCTGGCACAGTGGTTCTTGAGATGAAGATTTTTAAAGATTTTTCCTATATATTTCTATGTAAAACTTTGATTCCCCATTGTGTCCCCGCCCTTCCCCCGGGGGTCAGGATTTGTACAATTTAGAATCTACACTACCCCAGGATGCTTCCATATATGTTTCAGCCTTTCTGGCACAGTGGTTCTTGAGAAGAAGATTTTTAAAGATTTTTCCTGTATATTTCTATGTAAAACTTTGATTCCCGATTGTGGCCCCGCCCAACCCCCGGGGGTCATGATTTGTACAATTTAGAATCTACACCACCCCAGGATGCTTCCACATAAGTTTCAGCTTTTCTGGCCCAGTGGTTCTTGAGAAGAAGATTTTTTAATGAACCCACCCTATTTTTGTCTTTTTCTTGATTATCTCCCCTTGTTAATGGATTTGACCCTTCATTTTAACAATTTAAATTTCCCTTCACTCAAGGATGCTTTGTATCAAGTTTGGTCAAAATTGGCCCAGTGGTTCTTGAGAAGAAGTCGAAAATGTGAAAAGTTTACGGACGGACAGACGGACGGACGGACAGACGGACGGACACAATGTGATCAGAAAAGCTCACTTGAGCCTTCGGCTCAGGTGAGCTAAAAACTATGTTTGTCTACGGAATTTTGGGAAAATCTTTATATTAAAATGATGTTGTAGAAATTATGGCTTCTTTAATTTCAAGTTCACTGACATATATCGACTGTACTCCTACAAGTAGAGCCTCGGTTAACGTCCCTACGTTTCTTATATACCGTATAAACTCGCCTATAAGTCGGTCCGCCTATACAGGTTACTCCTACAAGTAAGAGCCTCAGTCCCTACGCTCCTTATATACCTCGCCAATTTAAAAGTATCTCGCCGTGAACATCTAGCACGCTGGAGTAATATCGAATATATAAATTCATGCTCATCCCTGTCTTTCTTGGGGGAAAAAATGGTTTAAAATAGCATCCATTATCACTTAAATTTAATTAGGTTCGTACGAAAATTTACAAACGGACCTACCTGCAGTTCCTGAGAACTCGGACACAGTGAGTTTGTATTTAGTGTCCTCGTCCCCGACATAAAATGTGGAGTACTAAGCGTATGCTTTGTCACCATTAAATCTTTGTAGCTCAACCCGGAGTTCCTGATCATTGTTTTTTGTCAACTCATACATTGCGTCATTTCCTATAGAAATATTTTAAAAATATGTTAAATTCCAAATCCTTGAATTCCGACGCTACATTTTGATAGGCATCTTAATTATACTAATATTTAAATACTTATAAAAAATGTAGTTTGTAGACAGATCCCCAGATTCTTGTGTTTATTCTGACACTACATATAGATAGACACGTTATAATATTATTGTTGCATAAACTAAACTTACCGATCCAGTAGTTTTTAGATGGATCCCCAAATCCTTGTTTATATTCTGACCACGTCCTGTAAAAATCTGTAGATCCATCTTGTCTTCTTTGTATAGCCTTTTACAGATTATTTTATTTTTAATTCCTTTTGAATGTTTTAAAACGAACGTATTTTAAGACGTGAAGCGTAAATTTTATTTGAAAAACACAATTAGATTCTATGTTTCGTAAAAGAAAACATGTTAAAGCACTAAGTAACTTAATTTTCTAAGGACACGGAGTAGACTTCTTTGTCACTTTATAACAAGCTTAAGTTGTACTCACCGTCCACCCTCCTCCATCTGTACTCATGTACTCATGTCACAGTAAACAGACCTTATTACTGAGACTCACACTCACCGTCCATCCTCCTCCATTTGAACTCATGTCACAGTAAACAAACCTCATTACTGAGGGTCACACTCACCGTCCACCCTCCTCCATCAGGACTCATATAACAGTAAACAGACCTTACTACTGAGGCTTACACTCACTGTCCACCATCCTCCATCAGTACTCATGTCATAGTAAACAGACATTACTACTGAGGCTCACACTCACCGTCTATCCATCTGTACTCATGTCTCAGTAAATAGACCTTACAACTGAGGCTCCCTCTCACCCCCAACGTCCTCCATCAGTACTAATGTTACAGTAAACAGAGCTTAGTACTGAGGCTCACACTCACCGTCCACACTCCTCCATCTGTACTCATGTCACAGTAAACAGACCTTACTACTGAGGCTCAAACTCATCGTCCACCCTCCTCCATCAGGACTCATGTCATATTAAACACACCTCATTACTGAGGCTCACATTCACCGTCAACCTTCCTCCATCAGTACTCATGTTACAGTAAACAGACCTTACGACTGAGGCTCACACTCATCGTCCACGTTTCCCCATTAGGGCGCATGTAACAGTAAACAGATCTCAATAATGAGGTTCACACTTACCGTCCACCCTCCTCCATCAGTACTCATTTCAAAGTAAACAGATCTCACTATTGAGGCTCAGACTCACCGTCCACCCTCCATCTGTACTTATGTCACAATAAACAGACCTTACTACTGAGGCTCACACTCACCGTCCACCCTCCTCCATCTGTACTCATGTCACAGTAAACAGACTTTACTTCAGAGGCTACGTGTAATTTGTATACACCATCTCTTCCCTCATAAAACGGGTATTTCCGTAAAATTTCCCGACAACTACCACAATTATTTGAAAGCACTGCAAAATAAAATGTATTTGGATTTTAAAGATGATTTATTTATTAGTATTTATTTTATTAAATCAAACTCCACTAGTAATCGATCACTCATTAATTGATTTGTTAATTGATTGTTTGTTGTGTAATATATCTTGCTAACTGACAAAACATGCGATGGGTTTCAAAATTTTGCTCAAGAATTATTATGTGGTCATTGCCACTCGATTATGGGAAATATATTCATTATTATTTTTATTTTACCGGGGTCAGTTTTCTTGGTTTATTGGTCGTGGTGGTGATGAGGGGGGGGGGGGGGCGTTTTGATTTAAATTCGATGTAGTAAGATAAACTAGTAGGTGATTCAGTCCTTTTAATTTTGACATTTCTTGGAGGATATGAAACGGTGAGTAACATTATACCTCGAAAAATAACAAGAAGTAAATATTTAATTGAAAATTAGTGATTTCACAGTATATGATGTTCTTATTTTAAATATTCAAGCAAAAACGGAACTTAACTGATAAAGAAATTGAATGCCTGAAGAAGTTTAAGATATTCGAATTTTCTGTGAATTTATACCGATTTTAAAATGAGTAATGTAAAGTTTGGATTCAGTGATAAATATTTACAATATTACACGATATAATGAAAATATTGGGGAGGAGGTGGTTTGGTTAGTCTTATTTGAAATCTTATATTTTCGTAAAAAAGGATACCAGGGGTAATTCTTCAATGTTGAAATTATTTCGCTTCCAAAAATTCGCTCCAAATTTAATACTAAAAATAAATAGAATTTACAATTATTCTGTACCTTCTGACAAGGACTGGTTCAGTTCATTCAGAACCCGCTGATCGTTGTTGATCGTATCATTTACAGACACTGCGAAACTCTCGAACTTGTCCTCTATTATTTTAATCTGTCTTGCAAGAACTTCTACGCCACTGATCCGTAATGTCGCGTTCATTTCATTCATTTGGTCTTGAAGATCCTCAATTCCTCGAAAAAATCTTCCATCATTGTTTTCCAGAACCAAACTTTTATTTAGAAAGGTATCATCAAGTTCTTTTATTTTTCGGAAGTTCTTGTTTACTTCTATTACATGGGATTTATTCAGAGTGTTTGTTCTCTTAAATGTGTTCATTTAAGATGACTTCAACGTCTCTATATCTTTTCGTACACCTCTTTCCGTTTGTTTTATTGTATTATTCAACAACTCAAGCTGTTTTTCAAACGCTGAATTTTTCAAGGCTAGTTTAAGATTTTCATCGTGGAGAGCTGAAGTCTTACTTTGCATTTTCTGATAAAGATTTTGAATTTCGTCCTTTGTAAAGTTCCAATTATCATTCACTTTCCCATACATCACCTTTAATTCCTCTTTAAGTTTGTTGTTTTCGTCCTCCATATTTTGACTTTTTGTCTCCAAATCCTGCAGTTCCTTTGTCACCTCACTGAGTTTTGCCTTGATAACTTGTCTTTCGTTTTTGCTGTCTATAGCATCCATCACTAAATTTTGTATTTTTTGCACCATAGAGAAGCGGACCAGACTTTCCTGATTCAGAATGTCACGTAGGACGCTGGACGCTCTACCTGACACGGTACTGGGTAACAAGCTATTATCGATAGAGGTGTTTTCTGGTAATGGTAACTGTCCAAAGGTCCCGCACATAGAGAGTATTGAAATAAGTATTCGTGGACACTCCATCTTTGTTATGAATTCTTATGCATAAGAGGGCATTTTCTATGTTTTATGTTGTGCAGAACTGGGCGTACGTTATGTATGCGATGATTGAAGCATTGAGATAAGTATTTTTCACCAACAAGATGACCGTTTCAATCTCTGTTTATAATGTGCAAATTGAATTAACACATATCAAAGTTTAGGTACACTAATGACGTATTTGTTGGAAATTGAGTAAATTTAAAGGGTGTTTTGTGTTATGTTTTAAGTTTCTACTTTTTTATGAAAACATTTTATCCTGGATCTAATCACTCATATTTACGTAATAACCGAGTCAGGTTAGTCCAAATAACAATTTCTCGCAAAAAGTAAGCATTAAATGTGATTACGAAACGAAGCAGCTGTATATCCTCAAAATCTTCAAATGCTCTCTCTCTCTCTCTCTCTCTCTCTCTCTCTCTCTCTCTCATCTACTTTCACAAATATCTCTTTTTCTTATAATTTAATTGGCGTTCCTTTTCATCCTTTTAACACTGTCAACACTGCCTTCTAATGTCGCTTCATCTTTTAGAACATCAATTTTGCAGTTATTACACGGTTATTGTGTTTGATGACCAAACTTTTATTTAACACAATCTTCAAAATTTGTCATTTTTATGAGGTTGCCTTTAACGGTGCCTATTTGATATCCATTGATTATTCATATTTTTATTGTCATTTTACTGACCAAGTTCATTGGCGTCGGAAGCAAAATGAAAGTGGGGGGGGGGGGGGCTAAGTGTAAAAAAAATTTTTTGTACCTATACAAAAAACCAGACAAGCAAAAAAAAAAAAAAGAAATGTCCATTTCCCAAACACGAAAATCCTATTTCGTGTGTGTGTGTGTGTGTGTGGGGGGGGGGGGGTATTGGTAGGTTCATGCTTCAGTACCAGATTTTTTTCCAAACACCACTAATTTCCCAATTTTTAACCCAAACTAAGACGTATCTGTAGAAAGTGGGGGGGGGGCTAAACCTACGAAGATATGTTCAATGTCTATACTAAGTATTTATCTGGAATAAAGTGGGGGGCTAAGCCCCCCCTAACCCCCCCCCCCCCCCCGCCCGGTTCCGACGCCTATGAAGTTTGACATAGCATTATTTGAATTGGTTTTTCATCTCTCTTTACTGTAATCTTTTTAACTACGTTTCTTCTATCGTTTTTGTGTCGGTAGCATCCATCACTAAACTTTATAATTTTTGTACCATAAAAGCCTACCAAACTATCCTGAGTCAGAATGTCCCGTAGTACAGTACATGGGACGCTTAACCAGGCATTTTTTTCATAATTTCTGCTGTCAGAATAAGATTTTAAGGCAAATAGAGTATTACGTGCAAGAAGAATATTAAGCACAGTATTTGTAAAATCCCCATCTTCGCAATGGCAATTGATGAATAATGGCAATTGCTTGAATACAGAGTAGCACTGAGCGTTGATCGTCTAAAAAATACAAGTACATGTATTGTTTTTTCTAGATCTGCTGAAATGATGACTTGATAGTTGATATACTTTTATTCTTACAATGGATATAGCGTCTCAACTGAAGACTATAATTCGACTCTATTTGCTGATGAACTTATTTAGTTACTGATCTCAAGAGTGGCTTATTATATAATGCAAGCTTTAAGGAAGCCTAAATCATAAACTTTCGCTTGATAATTTAAAAAAAAATATTTATCCCGTGCCACAGGCACCTGACGTTACTTATTTTTCTTTTAATAGATAAAATATAGCCCTACCTAATAATAAACGTTTATTATTAGGTAGGGGTATATTTTTATTATAAGAAAAATAAGTAACGTCAGGTGCCTGTGTCACATGCAGATAAAATCATTTCAAATGACTTTATTTTTGGAAACTGGGAAAACTCTCAGAAAGAGATCAGCCTTATTTACTTTTTTTTTATTCTAATAATGTAAAAATGTTAGTCACAAGAAAATTACGTTAACTGTTCTAAATTTCTTGCTCTTGGCATATTAATGCGCGACATAATAATCCTTACCCCGCAACTCCAGAGCAAACGATCTATCCAATGCTCCACGCGGGCGACGTTTTGATCAAGTCCTCACCAAGCGACTCTAGAGAAAACGTTCTAACCACTGGGCCACGCGGGCGACATTATGAACAAGTCCTTACTCCGCGACTCAAGAGCAAACGATCTAATTGTGTCCCACGCGGGTGCTTATAACGCATTGATATTTGTATTGTGTAATCTATACATACATTATCAATTACAGTAATCTTCATTAAAATATTTTAGAAGGTATAATTTCACTCTAGATTTATTGATTACTAACCCATTGACTAAATTTATCAGACTATATAGATACCTTTGAATGTAGAATCAACAACATTTTATTCTTACTGCGCGTTAGAAGTTTATTTACAAATTCTTAAAATACGTCACATGATAGCAGTCTTAGTGACACGTGAATATCGTGGTTTGTATTGATCAAAATTATGATATTGTGGAGAAATTGTAATTATAATAATTTGTCACTGACAGCGTAAAAAAAACCATTCCATCTATCTAAATATATATATATATATATATATATATATATATATATATATATATATATATATATATATATATATATATATATATATATATATATATATATATATTCCCTGTCAGATTTTCTATTAGGATTTCCTGTAAATTAAATGCTTAACTACTTTTCAGGTCAGTTTTTCTTATCTCTTTTAGAGTCCAGTGTTTACTCAGCTCCCACTTTGTAATGTTTCTATGTACTTTAGGGCTTGATTACTTTGCGCTATCTTCTCATTTTTCATTGAATTGAAACACATTTCAAGTGTTGGTCAATTTCTGAAAAAAAGTTCAAAGTGCGTTAAATTTAAATCACACGCAACGCACTTTGAATGTTTTTGTTAAAGTGCGTTAAGAGTGTACATAAACATTTTTACCATGGGGACATTTAACGCACTTTGAAAAAATATATGCATAAAATTAAAAAAATTAGACTTAGATTTTAGAAATTGAGAGAATCAATTTGTAATGATTATATCTTTAGAAGAACTTTTTAATTTAATGAATACATTATTCATTTAACCTCTCTGAGAGCAAGGAAAAGACGAGAAGAGGGTCTCTCAGTCACCTCTCTTTTTTAATACATCGTACATAGCCGTCGGTAGCAAATTGAAAGTGAACCCCTTCCCCCAAGGTAAGCCTCAATTTTCAATGTCTATATTATGTATATCTCTGCTAAACATGTGTGTGCCTAATTTCCCCTACCCATGCCTACAGTACACCCAAATATTTGATTTTGTCTGACTGGTATGACGTTGAAAACTTTCAATAAATTTTAGTTGACATAAAATGCATGCAAACGGGAAAAAATTAAGTACAGTAAAGCATTTAAGAGAAAAAAATTTCAAAGTATGGAAAAATCAAAATCGCTTACTTTCACATCCTGAAGTGAACTTATCACCGAAAAGTTTTCAAACGGGTTCAATTATTTTTCATACCTAAGATTTACATACACATTTTTTCAAAGTGCGTTAATATGGTCGATATAAAATATTTTTTTTCAAACTGCGTTGACTTGGTCCAAAATTTAACGCACTTTGAAAAAAAAAATTCAAAGTGTGCAGTTTTTCAAAGTGCGTTGTAACAAGGCACACATTGCAAACTTGTCCTCTAAGTTTCCTATTGCTAGCTATAAAAGAAATAATTGCCTTCTAAGATTTATATTATAAAATGTTATAATTCATTGTAAATTTAGTATCAGTTTTTATTAAACAATAGAGAAAGAGCTTTCTGAAGAACATGATTCTATATATTATTATTACTTATATAACTTAAGATATCATAACTGGATATTACTTCTTACAAAATAATTGATCACGGAGAATAATATATATCTTAATTCAAAAATGCTTCACATTTACAAATGTAAACAAAATTAACAAATTTTGGGGAAATACGTTACTTGCATTAGAAATTACTACAGGTTTTATTCTATAACATTAATTTATACACAGAATTCAAAATGTAATTAAACAATAAATAATTTCTTTGCAATTGGTTGTTAGTATGCGAATTAATGTTGCGGCTGTTTCAGAATGAATACATAACCCGCTTAAATTTACACTTTTTTTATTTATATTTACATGTATGAAAGAAAACATTCAAAGATTTTTGAATATGTAAAATACTGTATTATGGACCTATATGTCTTAATATTATTACACCTCTCGTTTAAGATGCCACACATAGGCTCCGGTGTATCATG